GTTTGTACAGAATATCAGTATGAGAATACGACACCCTCTGTCCTTAGACCCTCACATCGTACAAGGAAAAACTTCCAGAGAAACGCCACAGTTTAAAGGGAAAAATGGGAGAAACCTCAGGGAGAGGAACAGAGGAGGGATCCCTCTCCCAGGATGGACAGACGTGCAATAGATGCCGTGTGTAAATCGAAAAGATAATACAATTACATCATAGGTAGTCCAAATGTTTGGAAATGCATGTGTCTATAATAACAAGATGAATCCACGAGGATGTCAGCAATTTTGTGGGAGCCATCAGGGAAGTAGTATGATGAGAGTCAGGCAGGACCGCAGAGACAGGTTCAGCCACGACTCGAAGTCCAGGACTCAGATCCAGTGCTCAGGATAGAGGATCCAGGACACACGACCATAGCAACAGGATTAGCCTCGACTCAGGATCCCGGCGTATATATGGACACAAAAAAGAGATTTTGGGGAAACTGGGTTAATCGGAACATGAGAGTACCATAGGCGGCGCGTGAGGCTCAGGTTTGGGAAGGCCAAATAAAAATGTTTACCTGACGCTGCCCGCCTCCAGTGAAAGCACCGCCTGCTGACCAATCTGAGCTCAGTGTGCGGAGTTTAAATCTATCAAGTCATATTACAGGATAAAGCAAATGTAACGGGTCACAAACGTAAGCGACCTGTTATCGATCAGGAAACACAGCGAAGCATCTAGGTGTCTTTTCTGGCGTTTATTCTGAGAACAAAACACAATATCCTCCTTAAATCCACGCTGCACATCCTCCGCAGCACTCACTTCAATGTCATCTTTAGTATTTATAGATTAAGAAATGAACAAGAAAATCTTATCAAGTAATCACACAAAAATACAAACACAAACATACCTGAGAACAAAACACAATATCCTCCTTAAATCCACGCTGCACATCTTTACAAAAGAAAAGAAAGGAAGGGTTAACATGTAAACAAAGAAAATGACGCAGATCACGTCTAATTCCCGCCAAAACCACACCACAGATATCACTAAAAAAATACAATTTCCTACGGTGAAAACCAAACAAAAACGGGTCAACAAGGTACCCAAATTAACACTCAACAACACACATCACTTCCTCAACCCAAACAGCCGGTCCATCACACAAAACCGCAATGATTTGTAACACCTCTCCCAGCACAGCTTACCCTCCGCAGCACTCACTTCAATGTGAGGGGAAAGCGGAAATTACATACAGGAAATAGAAAAAGATGTGCAACGGGAAAGTGTTCCCACCAGAAACATAACTCAAAAACATCAAAAGTAAACAATCTCATAAAAATAAAATTCACAACCCATTATAAATCGTAATTTATAACTATATTTATGTCTACACATTTTTAACTCCATTACACCTAACTAATATCCATTGACTCTAATTTGACAACAAAAAGGCACAATATTTTTTTGAACTTGGCTTTATACAATATTTAGATTTTGTTGCCTGAAATCTATGCAAAACTGCACTTAAGTTAAGACAATGCCTCATTTGCATGATCAAACACAATTTATTAGAAAACGTGTGATATGCAAAGTATCTTTAATAAATAAACTGGGGAAGTTTCCTGGTGATATCCGTTAATTTCTTTACCCTTTTGACCTGTAGTGTCTTCCCTTAATGTGTCTTTTCCATCTCAGCTGTTTCACGATCCGGATGGCTTTGGGTTTCGTAAGAAAGCCAGGATGTACATCAACGACCTGTGGAATATTTTAGACGTTCTTTCCATCCTCTTCTTTATTATCGGACTCGCATTTAGGTAAGTATCCTTCCTCCCAGACAATCCCTTTAGGCCATGGAAGTGCTTTCCACCCTCTTGGTAATGTATGAATCATCATGTTTTTCTATTTCAGGCTGACGACTGAGCTGTTCTATGCGGGTAAAATCCTCCTCTGCATCGACTTTGTGGTCTTCTGCCTCCGGCTAATGGCCATCTTCACTATCAGTAGAACACTTGGACCCAAAATCATCATCGTCAGGAGGATGGTGAGGCTTATGTACAATGTAATAGATGCCAACCTAATGTAATGTGTATGCAACTGCAGAGCACAAAATGCTACACTCCAAAGCACTATTTATCTTATACAAAAATAAGCTGCTGCTCCACTGGGCCTCCATCTGGTGTCTGCAGATGAATAATGTGCAGTTGGTTTGAACTTGAAGGTGTTTTTGAACAAAATGTTGCAGCTGGTCTGCTTGTTGCTAAGCAGTCAAACGCCATTATTGTTTGTGTCAGAGATCATATGTTGAGCAAGAGGGCAGCCTTTGAAATACTAAAGGGTTGGGGTTATGATGCTCAAAACAGAAAGCTGGCACATCCAACTCTCTGAAGTTCTTTGAATTTAAAATGTAACCCAGTAAAAGTCTCCACTGTACATTCATGGGCGAATTTTCTACCCAGGAGAAAGACATAATTGTTTAGCCTTTTTTGATCTTTCTGTGGTTTTGTGTTCCTTTTGGGTTACTGTGTTATGTTTATTTCTGCCTTGATTGTCATTTTGTGTCTTTTTTGGTTGTTATATCTCTCTGCATTCATTTTTAGTCTCTTCTTGGTTGTTTTGTCTCCATGCAAAAAGTCATTGTGAGGCTGTTCTGCTTCTCCTTTTAGTTGATTTGCTCTCTTGGTTGCATTTTTGTCTCTCTTTGTAGCCTTTTTTCTAGCTATTTTGTGTCTCTTTGGATTAATTGAATGTCTCTTTGTGGTGTAAGGGGCTGAGAGGCAGGGTAGTGGGAGGCACCTACATTCCCAACATGTGGCTTCACCCTCTCCCAATTAGCAGTATTGGGAGCAGGTGTGGAGACCCTCACACCTGGTGTTAATCACTCCCTCAAGGGAGACAAAGCACACAGAGTTGATCAGTTGTGTGTGGCATATGGAGGGAGCAGGAGGCTCCCAGTGTAAGGAAACGTTTTGGTAAGCTGGTAAGTCGGTTAGCGGCCTGGCTACGTTAGCCTTTGTTTGTTGGAGGTATTTTTGAGTTTGATAGCAATAAAGCCTTTTTTTGGATGCCTCTGTTGTGATTGCTGCACTACCACTTTCCTCTTTATCTGCCCAGTCCTGCTTCAGTGGGCAAACAACCAGCACATGTCCCTAGTTGCCGCAGTATTCAGATGTGCCCCACATTTCTAAGTGTTTCTAGCCTGTGACAGATTTATGTTTGTCCTCCAGATGACCGATTTGTTCTTCTTCATGTTCCTGCTGAGTATCTGGGTGGTGGCGTACGGAGTGGCCAAACAAGGCATCCTCATCCACAACGACAACCGGCTGGACTGGATTGTCCGCGGGGCCGTTTATGAGCCGTACCTCATCATATTTGGGAATTTCCCCACAAATATTGATTGTGAGTGGAAACAGAACAGACAGTATTATGATTTTCCTTTTATACGTACGTGGAAAAGCATGACTTAAAGGTCTCCTATTATACTATTTTTAGGCCTATATTATAGGTCTCAGATATCTAACAATTTATAAAAAACATGTCTATGAAGTGTTTTGCTCAAAATACCAAACAGATCACCCTTTCTAGCCATGCCTCATACCCCTCTATTTCAGCCCTGTACCACCGTTTTTAGAGATGTGGGTAAGGAGGAAAAGAGAGAGGGTTGTATTTTCTGACACTTTGTAAATCTCCTTACAATACCTATGTATAACAGACATTAAAAAGTGCATTTTGCACAATAGGGGACCTTTAAAGCTAAACGCTGCAAACCACAGCAACCATGATCATCAGATGTGCTGATTCTGGCCCCTTTTTTTTTAAAGTTTGAAAAAAAAGAGGCGGGAGAGGTTACGCCTGCTCAGAGTTCTACCTGAGAGATTCTCAGCTAAATGCTGCCGTGATTAAACGCCATATCATGTTCCAAACCACATCAAAGATTATTTCTGAAACAGTATAGAGCTCAAATGCTTTTTCTCTTGCCGGTTTACCACAAGGTGAGTTCCTTTTT